TCAACCAGAGAACATTCTCCCTCCAGTCAGACTCTCGCTCTGTGCCTGCGCCCGGTGGGAGGGCCTGGCCCCCAGGAGAGGGCCCGTCCCCCTGCGGCCCTCTAGCCTGCTCAGCGATTGGGGTTGGAGGGTGTCAGGGCACAGGACCCAGAGGCCTGGCCTCTGTCCTGGGGAGCAGAGGTGCCATGCTGCTTCCTGGCCAGTGGGGAGGGGGACACCTTCCCAGCCCCCAAGGACAACCCAGGCAGGCCTTCCCATAACAAGGCCCCCTGCGAAGTGGGCTGCGATGGAGGAGAAACAGGGAGCAGGGAGGCCAGGCCTGGCGGTGAGCTCAGAGCCATGGGGCCATCTTTGCCCTGTAAGCCAGCAAAGGCGAGGGCAAGGTGAGTTCTCCTGCGACCCTGCCTCCTCCTCCGCCCCTCCCTGCCCGGACCGCCCACCTCTGCCCGTGGCTGCAGGGCTGCAGGGGCTGGCCTCGCAGCGCTGGAATGCCGAGCTATTCCTAGGGGGAGACAGAGAAGGAGGGGAGCTGAATTGGCCATGCTGAGCAAGGCATTTAGCCACCCGAGCAATAATAGGGCTTTCATGGAGATGGCCAACCTTGGGTTCCGAAGCTATTTTCCACCCGCAACCCTCCTTCCTCCCGCCCTGAGTTGCCCAGGCTGAGAATCCTCCTTTGTTGGGCTGAGCCCTGGGGGGAGAGGGGCTGGGCTTTGTGGAGGGGCCCCCAGGCCAGGCTGACTGGGCTCCCTGTAGTCTGGGTGGAGCACATCTGGGCAGTGGAAGGGAACCAGGGCCAAGGCCAGGGCCAAGAGAGCCAGCCCTTCCTTCCCAGAAACTCCCAGGGCCTTGGCCCTGCCTCTGCTCCTGGGTGCTGAGTCGTGTTTGTGGGCTGGTATTTCCCACGTTCCTCCATGGGAGGCTCCTTGGGAGGGCACAGGGACAAATGGTCACTCTTTGTCAAGCACTCTTTGCCCAGGGAAGCCTACTCCAGAGCCACCTTTCGCTGGAGACCAACAGGCAGACGGAAGCAGGGGCAAGGCTGGGAAGGGTCCCAGGCCCTGGCTTTGAGGGTCCGGGTCTGGGGGCCCACAAAAGCTGTATGGAGGAGCAGGACCTGGCAGGGTGGGGGTGAGGCTGGGGCTGGGGCTGGGGCTGGGGCTTGGCCTGGCTGGGCAGGGTAATGAGATCCAGCTGGGAGGGAGGGAGGGTGGGGGGGGAGGAGGAGGAGAGGTGGAGGAGGAGGAGGAGGAGGTTCCTTTATCTCTCGCTCCATGTTCTCAGGGCCCACGTTTTTTAATTTGTGTTGGATAAACAATATGGGATTGTGTACGCAAAGAAGCTCTAATTATCCCCTGAGGTTGTGTTTCCTTAGAGGAAATGAACTGGGCATGGCATTCGCGGTGGATCGCAGAAACGCACCAGCCCAATAGCTTCCAGATTGCTGCTCAGGCGTGCCATGCTGGGAGCCCCCTCAAGTGGGGCTGTGCCCCCCATACCCCCATCTGGGGCTGAGCCCAGCCTGGGCCCTGCCTGACCTGGCCCTGGGGAGGCAGGGGAAGGGCTGCTTGCTCTGTAGCCTCGCTCCTTCTCTGTGCACTGAGCCACCCCTGACCCCATCAGCCTCACCTCTGTCTCTACTGGGGACAGCCAAGGGTCTAGGATAGGGGCCTTTGAAATGATAGATGGAGACGGAGGTGACCCCTGCTGCAGTCCTCACTGAACTGTGTCCTTGAGCAGTCCCCATAGAAAGCCTAAAGATTCCCGCCCGTCTCCCCATAAACATCACTCCCCAAACCACTACCACAGGGGTGCTTTCCCATGCATGCTGTCCCTGGTGGTGGGCGGGGGCAGGAGGAGTCAGCCTGGGAGCCGGGGCCTCTGTTCTGGGGTGCCTGGCCTCCCGGGAGCAGCAACCCCAAGACTGCCCCATACTGGTACTTCGGCACCCCCGTCTTATGCTTGGCCGTCTCTCCACCCACCAGCAGCCCCATACCCATCTCTGAGCTAGGTGGGAGGCTGAAACTCAGGGAGGCGCAAGGGTTGGCCCCAAGGTCACGCGTGGGTAGCAGGGCTGGGATGAGAATGAGGACGGGGTGAGCAGCCAGTTGAGTGGGACTTGGGAAGGAAAATGTGTATCAGGGAAAGAGGACTGGCTGAGTGGGCTGAGCAGACAGCGCGTTGAACCACAGAGGAGTAAACTCCAATCACTACACCCTCTTCCGAGTGCGTCCTGTTCCCGCCGAGGAGCCCCCGCATTCCCAGCGAGCAGGCGGGCAACCAAGAGTGGACGAGTGGAGTTTCGCTGCTTCTTGCCGCTGCCCAGCGCTGCCTCTGAGGAGCTGAGCGGCTGGGGCAGGGGGAGTCCTACCAACGGCGCACTCTGGGGTGCTGTCAGGACTTAGGTGGAAGATCTTTGTCTTCCACCCAAAGCAAGGTGAACCCCGGGACGCTTTCCTGGGGGAGCTGCAGGGACAACTGGGCCGGGCTGGGGCCCAGACAGCAGCCCCTGCTCAGACTCCGGGGATGGGCGAGGCAGCCGGGAGGGCGGAGGTGGGGAGGCGGCTGGCGGCCCTGGGCCTGGACTGCTCCCACTCCAATGGAAGGTTCGCCCCCATGTCTCCCTTTTATCTTTTCATTACATACAAATTAGGAGTGCGATTAACTTTATTAAAAGCAAACAAAGCTGGTCAGAGAATGGGGCCTCCAGACAGAGCTGTGGGGGCTTGGGGGGGAGGAGCCGGAGAGCAGGGGAGGGCTGTGGTTGCCGCAGTGAAAAGGGCAGGAGGTGGCGGGCGGGGGGAGGGGCTTCCCTGCAGGATTCTCCGTCCCCAGGGATCCCACCACTTTTATGGCCGTCTACAGCCTTCTGAAGTTATGCCAGCTCGGCCCAGCCTCCAGACAGAATTCCAGACTTTAAGAGAGCTGGGAGGAACCATAGAGACCGTAGAGTCTCCCACTGTCCCCCCTCAGCTACAGACGGGGAAACTGAGGCCCAGAGAGGGGAAGGGGTTAGCCCAAGCCCAAGCCCCACTGCCAGTGAGTGGTTGCGCGCGGCGTGATGGGTGTTGAAGCTTTCTGCCTCACCTCCCCACAGCGCCTGGAGGGTCTAACCGAAATCCCTCTTGCTGCAGATAAACCCAGTTTGTTTTGTTGCCCTCCAGCGGAGCTACTGACCCATATTAACCTTCTGCGGACTCCAAAGCGGCATGTCCTGCCCCCTCGGCCTCCTCTCCTTCCGTGGCTTTTATCCTTCTGAGAGCTCAGGCCCCAACTGCTGCGGGGAGCCTGGGCCACAATCATGGCCACAGCACCCATGAGATCCGCAGGCCTTTGGGTAGCTCCTCAAGTTCTTGGAAAGGATCTTCATAGGACTTCATTGTTCCCTCCAGGAAATCGTGATTGCTAGGCAAGACAGCATCCACTGGCTTTACTGTTTCATTAATTAACCCACGCAGAAAACATTGACCGAGCACTTACTTTGTGCACAGCAATGCGTTAAGTGTCAGGGATTCAGTGATGACAAGACAAATGTGACCCTTGACTTCATGGAGCTTATGTGGAGAAACTGAGGTTGTGAGGGAGCATAGCAAGCCATCGATACTGCTAGAAATAGCAGCAAGGTACCAATTACAGAGGAGGATGCCTACACACCCCACACGTGCACACGTGCTTCTGCCTTGAGCCATTTTCCACAAATCTGGAAGCTGTCAAGGGGCAAAGATGGCAGTGACCCTGCCCCCTTCCCTTCTACTCTGCTTCCACAAGCCTGGACCATGTCCCAGCGTCTCAAACACCATCTTCCATGGCCTCTGGTGCCTTCTGGAACGTTAGTGATGCCATCGATATTGTTGATTACTCACCACTCATCGTCAGACATTTAAAAATAAAGGATTTTTGGCTAAAAAATCCTCTTGGCTTTATGTATCAAGGGCTCTCATAGTGCAAAATTGGTTCCAGGAGGAATGTTTCAACTTCTCAAGGAAGTGCAATCTTTAAGCACTTTAGAAGCACCTACTAGAAACCAACTGTTTACTCTTTATAGAAATGGATCAAATATGCTTAGCAAAGTCCCTCAGCTGAAGAGGTAAAAAAATAAGTGGAGCTGAACCAGCCCTTACCCACCCCAAAATGAACTCTGCTACTGGGTCAAACCATATGAAATAACCATTCGTATAGGTCTAAAATGGTCGTGTTGGCGGTTTCATGTGGTTCAACCTGATTGTTCCCAATTGGTCTGAGTGAATCGGTAAAGTAGGCCTTGCAAGGAGGCCACACAAAATAGCCCTTCTTGTTGTATCATTAGCACGCTAAGCCCTGCTACTGGACAATCCCGATTCTTGTTGAATCATTACAATAGGTCTCCTGAGTCTTCGCACTGGGCTCTTCTTCTTGTTGGTGATGCAAGAGTTGCTTGTGAAACTGAATAATGATGAGCACCAACATTCACATGGCACTTCCCGTGTGCCTGTTCTAAGTACTTCGTAGGTATTTGCCCATGGAAAGCTTGTAACTACTCTACACTGTAGGTGCTATGATCACTCAATTTTATAAAGCGGGAAACTAAGACACAGTGGAATTAAGCAACTTGCCCAAGGCCTCACCACCAATACCCTGGCTGGCTGGAGTGCCAGGTCGTGTCTGCACTTCCAACTTGCTCCCGTGTCTCAGTCACAGGCCTCGTTCCCTCCTGGGCCAAGGGCTAAGGAGGGGCTGAAGTCTGCTCATACCTGCTCCTACATTCAACACGAGTGAGCTGGGCAGCAAAGGATGAGCAGCTGGGGCGAGGACTGAGGGACCGTGCCATTCAGGCAGGCAAGGCCTGGGCTCCCCAGAGCTGATCCGTGATCCATGAAAAGAGAGGGGCACCCTCTTTGCTTCTTGTCAGTTCCCTCCTGCAGACACCAGTCAGGTGCTACGGGGTGTGGTGGAAACCTGGGAAATCAGATCCAAGAGACCTGGGTTCAAGTTGACCACTCTCATTTCTTAGCTCTGTGGCCTTGGGCATGTCATTCAAACTCTCCGAGCCTAAGTTTCCCCATCTGCAAAATGGGCCTAATAACCCCAACTACAGAGGGGTGTTGTGGGGTTTTGATAAGAGAAGTGGAGCAATGTGCCTGGCATAATTCCTGACTCATAGGTGGTGCCCAGCGAGTGCTGGCCCCCTTCTCCCTAGAGTCCCCTGCCACTCCTTGTCCTGCTGCCCTTGGCACACAGCCCCTTAGAGCCCCCGGGCCCAGTGACTGGTGGCTGGAATGGACTCTGGCAAGGAAATGAGATCCAGCGGTTTTATTAAAATTCCTATGTAATTTTCTCCCTACTGATGTACTGAATGATGGTTTCCTCTTTCCCCTCAGCTCCTCTAGTTCCCCAAACGCCAGGGCCCTAGGGAAGCCTCCCCACATCCGCCACCCGATTTTCTTGCTTGCAGAAGGTTCGAGTGAGCTCCACAGAGAATGTGAGATTCCACTTTGTATCCATGGCCCTCCACAGAAAGTCAGGAGAATGCAAACTCTGAGGAAGAAACGAGAGGAGAAAGAATCACCCACAAATGCCTTCCCAGCCCCAGGTTCATTTTATCCTCCTGATGTGTCAGGCTGGGTTAATGGACATTTCTTTCAAGACGAACAAAGGCCCCTTCTCCTCCTGTTACCTCCGTCCCCAGCCTCCTCCCCAAAGGTGGCATCCCACCCATGTGCCACACATAATGCTGCTACCAAGGGACAAGGATCTTTTTTTTTTTTTCCCCAAATAAACCTAGACTTCAAAGGATCTTTTTTTTTAAAACTGAGTCTCACTCTGTTGCCCGGGCTAGAGTGAGTGCCATGGCGTCAGCCTAGCTCACAGCAACCTCAAACTCCTGGGCTCAAGCGATCCCCCTGCCTCAGCCTCCCGAGTAGCTGGGGCTACAGGCATGCGCCACCATGCCCGGGCCCGGATGATTTTTTTTCTATATATATTTTTAGTTGGCCAATTAATTTCTTTCTATTTATAGCAGAGATGGGGTCTCGCTGTTGCTCAGGCTGGTCTCGAACTCCTGACCTCGAGCAATCCGCCCACCTCGGCCTCGGGACAAGGATCTTGAAGGGCTCCTTAGAGGCTACCCTGTCTCCCTGCCTCTGCTCACAAGGCCCTCAGCCCAGCCCTGGCAGGGCTTTCCTGTCTCCCAGAGATCTCTGGAGAAAGAGATGTCTTAGCTACCTTTGTTCAGCCATTCCCATTTGCCCAGAAAGCCTGCCGGCAGGAAGGACTTTCTTATCAAACTGGAATCCTCCCTGTTCCGCCTGTTGCTCATCCCCACTGCAGTGCTCTCAGGCCTGGCTCAGGGCTATGGGGCCCAGGGTGAAAGACATTCCTGGCATTGTTCCTCCCTTTCTCTCTCTGGACCATGAGGGACTGGACTAGATGGGCTCAATGGGTCCTGTGGCCTCTGATGGCCTGTAGCTCTCAGATTCTCAGTGAACGGAAGGAGCTGACCAGGAGTCCGCTGGTGCCGAGCCTTCCAGGGAGAGGCCGGGCCAGAGGTCGCCAGTCCCTGGCACTCCCTCCGGCACTGTGGGGTCATGCCAGTGATGCCCCTGAAATCTTGCTTTGGGCATCTGGAATTGGATTTCTGTCTCCCTTACAGCTGTTTGACTGTAGCTCCGTCCCTCCAGCCTCCGTTTCCCTAAGTATACAAACAGGAGAGTAGGTGGGAAAGCTGGTCTGAATGCTGCCTCGGGCTCTGTGGCTGTCTACTGGAGGGAGGGAGGCTGCATGCCCCCTGGCTTGGGAGTGGGAGGGAGGGCCAGCGGCAGATAGAGCCAGCGGGAAGAGTAGAGGAGGGTGGAGGGCAGCTGGCGGAGGCAGAGCTGAGTGAAGATAGAAGGTGGGAAGGCAGACAGGGAGGAGGGAGGGAGAAAGAGGAGAAGGAGAAGGAGGTGGGAGGGAGGGAGCAGGAGGCAGGGAAGGGAAAGAATAAACACATAATCAGGGTTACTGAGTTTCCTGTGCAGCTGGAGTCATCTTTTGCTCTTCATAAACTCAGCTGTGGCTTCGCCACCCCCTCCGGCTGGGTGGCTGCTGCTCCCAACGCCGCCCGCCTGAGACCTGAACGCGGCAGGAGCTGGGCGCCCAGGCCTGGGTGTCTGAGGCCCCTTGTCCGTGGACGCCAGCAGGACAAGCTTAGCTGGCCTGGGAGCCATCCCTTCCTCAGAGGCGACCTGGTGGGGAGAAGAGAATGAGGGCGTTGGAGCGACATAGGCTGGGGCTGGGTTTACAGGTCAGCCACTTACAGGCTGAGGGGCCCTGTACTTGTTTGTCCTCTCTGCCAGCCCGGTTTGTCATCTGCCGACAGGGCTGATGGCTCCTCGGACACTTGCAGTCTCATGTCCGTGGTGAGGAAGATGGCCGTGCCACAGCTGGCGTTCATCACTGTCTCCTGACTGCTGTCCCCCGCTGTCCACGCCAGCCGGAACCTGGTAGCTTTCTTAGCTTCGCCCACAGGTCTCTGGCTTTCGGAAGGAGGAAGAGTCAGACAGGCTCAAGATGGCTTTGCCGGGGGTTGGGGGGGATAGGTTGTGGCAAGGGACCCCTCCCCTCGTCCCCAAGCCTCCTGGAACACTTCTTCCCAAACTACCCCCTCTCAATGTGCAGGTCTTGGGGAAAGGGGTAGGCAGAGGGGAGGAGCAAAGGCTACCCTGCCCCCCCAACACCATTCCTGTGAGGGCAGCTGCAGCCAGACCCTTAAATGTGGGGTCTAGTCTTCTGAGGGTCCCTAAACTCCTGATCTTATCTTATATGGAAAATTGGGCAGCTTGGTGCATTAATCCGGGGAGATGGTCCTGAGCATTTATTAGGTTCTCAGAGAGGATTCCGGAAAGTCAACATAAGCTACCAATTATTAAGCACTCACTGTATGCCAGAGACCATCCTAAGTGCTTTATAGCTCTTATCTTAATCCTTCAAACAACCCTGAGAGGGAGGTGGAGGAACTTAGGTACAAAGGTGGTCATCTAGCTGATAACCGGTCAGGCCGGGATTTGAATCCAGGTTTTCCTGACACAAAAGCCCGTGCTTAGCCGCTGTGCTCTACTTACTGCCTCTGAAGAGCTACAGAGAGTGCTCAGATCAATGCACCATTCATTCATTGTTCACTCACTTATTCATTCAACTTCCAACTCTCTGTTGAATACTCTCCTGTGTTTTAAGAACCATACCAGGTGTGGAAATACCATACATCTTTCTTGTATTCCTCCGGATGGCCTCAGGTGGGTTTGAGGAGAAGTCATCTAGGATAAGAGTGTCAGGCAGAACTGGCAAGGTGGCCAGAGCCTGAGGAACTCATTTGGCCCAGGGCTGACATTGCCAACAGATCAAGGCCGGCCATGCACCCATCGGGGTCTTTTCATTCAAGGACAAACCTCAAGCTCAGAATGAGGTTAGATGTTCCTTGCCTTCCTGGAAACACAGGAATTGAGGTGATATCTCCATGAGCTTCAAGACTGAGAATTCTTTTTTTTTTTTATTTTTGAGGCAGAGTCTCACTCTGTTGCCTGGGCTAGAGTGCTGTGGCGTCAGCCTAGCTCACAGCAACCTCAAACTCCTGGGCTCAAGCCATCCTCCTGCCTCAGCCTCCCGAGTAGCTGGGACTACGGGAATGTGCCACCATGCCTGGCTAATTTTTTTCTATTTTGAGTAGAGATGGGGTCTCGCTCTTGCTCAGGCTGGTCTCTAACTCTTGACCTTGAGTGATCCTCTTGCCTTGGCCACCCAGAGTGCTAGGATTATAGGCATGAGCCACTGCGCCTGGCCAAGACTGAGAATTCTTGAAGTTAATAGGTAAAGTAATGAAGCAGTGTGGCATAATGCTTAAAAGTGTGTGATTTATCCAGGATCAAATCCTGGCTCTGCCACTTAACAGCTATGTAACCTTGGGAAAATGGATTCTCTTCTCTGAACCTTACTTCTACCATCTGTAAAATGGGGATTATCATGATGCCTACCTAAATGGCTGTTGTGAGGATTAAATGGGTTAATATCTGTACAATGTTTGGAAGCATATACCCAACAGATGTCCACTAGGCTCATTGTTCCTTGCGTCATGTGGACCCTCCCTCAAGAGGAAATCAATGCGTTAAGATCTTGACCGAGGAAGGGTCAGGAGAAAGAGTCACCAGCATGAGACAGTGACTCAGTTTCTTCTACATGGCCCATCATTCTAAACACAAGTCACTCCTCTGCTCATAGCCTTGCCATGGCTCCCATGTCTCCAATATAAATTCTAGCTCCTTCATAAGTCCCATGTGTTCCTACTCTCATCATCTGGAATTATCCCTGGTATATAGTAGGTGCTCAATAAATAGATCCTGAATACTGACCATATGCATGAGTCAAGTTCAAAGTCATTTCCTTTGTGAAGCAGCCTGGGCAAAGCACATCCCATTGCCTGGTCATGGTTTCCTTGCTCATCTTATCTTCCCACTCACCTGGGTGCCTCTTGAGGCCGGAAACCTCAGCTGAAGCATTTCAGGATCACTGGTGTCTCACCACTTGGGGGGCTTCTACCCACTGTCCGTGCCCCTGACCCGACCTGGTTCAGATCAATTAAAGCAGAGTCTGGGGCATGGAGCCTAACGTGCGGGGGAGGCCGCAGGACCAAGCTTTCTGTGACTGCCTCTCGTCAAATGGCTCTGACTCCTCCTGGCCTGTGAGGCGACCCCTCACGGGAGCACCACTGGCTCAAAGGGAGCCCAGGAAGGGCCTCTGAGGAACTGGGTCTCTAGCCAGCCCCAGCATAAAAAAGAACGCAGAGAAATCCTTGCTCTCCCCCCAGGCCAGGGAGGATGAGCGAGACCTCCACATCACCACCTGGCGTCTTTTGTGTCCTTAGACCCGAGTGTGACAAGCCAGCCAAGCCCTTGACAGGTCCAGTTTGAGCCAATCAGGCTGCCTTCACAGTGGGCCCAGAGGGTCTGAGAGTAGAGGGGACGAATGACGTGACAAAAGGGACACAGTGTCAGCTGGTAAGGCCCTGGGGTCTGCCTGGCCTGCTCAGCAAGCACCACCTGGGCGCCACCTGGGCACTCGGCCAGGGGCAGAGAAAGAGCCCTTAAGCCAAGAGTGATAACAGCCACATGTACCCCTGTGCCAGGCCCCACGGCAAGCGCGCACATGCATTGTTCTACTGTACCCTGTGAGGAAGATATTATCATTCCCATTTTGCAGATGAGGAAACTGAGGCTAATGAGTTAAGTCCCTTGCTTGAGGTCCTACAATCATTAAGTGTGGCATCAAGTGCCAAAGCCCAGATTTGAACCCAAGCTTGAATACTTAGCTGTGATTAAGAGGCCAAGGTCACAGGCCCTTGTCTGTCATTCATTCTCTGTGTGACATTGGGCTAGACCTGCCTTCTCCCTGGACCTCAGTTTCCCATCCGTTGAGCAGTGATGGGACAGTGTGGGGTGTTAGTGGCTGACCTGGCTGGTTTCTAAGGGTTTTTTCAGCTGTGACAGCTGCAGGTTCTATGGCCAAGGCAAGAAAGCAACTATTTTCAGCCTCTGCGCTCAGGGGCACGAGCTTTGCTTGGGGATGTCCAAGGCAAGGCTGAGAGCAACACTTGCCTCTGACTCAGGCCCTGGGGACAGCAAAGCTCCCAACAGCTAATCATTACACTTACTCTTTAGTGCCAAGTGCCACTCAGAGCACTTTGCAAACAATCTGTTTCATCATTTCGACAATCTTAGGATATAGGCCCTACCATCACCATCCTCATTTTACAGATGAGACAATGAGGCCTAGACTGGTTGGAAAACTTGCTCAAGGCCACACAACTAGTACTTGGCACCGCCACCATTCACACTCCAGCCGCCTTGCCTAGGACCCTGTGTCAATTAAGCACCATGTTTATATGTGTGCCGGGCACTGTGCTCGGCACTTTCCACGAAGGACAGACGGACGGGCAAGGGGAGGAAGAGACCTCATTCTGTGTCTTGGGGCCCCAGAGGTGACCAGACTTGGCCCTGGACACGAGCCTTTCAGCCTCTCCTTTTCCAGTGTCTCCTGGTCTCCTCTCCCGAGGACCTGGGCACTACATGGGTGCAGGGTCGGGTGACGAGGCCCCTGGGCAGGGCAGAAGCTAACCATGAGGCTCAAGGTCACACGGACTAGGCCCACAGCAGAGTCTGAGCGTGGGCGGGTCCTGGCACCTTCATGCCCAGCCACCTAGGTGGCGCTTGGCTGGGACAGTCCATGCAACCTCATTCAGAGTTGCTGCCACTCGGCGTAGGACATGGCAAAAGGGTAGGGCCAAGCCTTCCCCCCGGCCGTGACTGTGGGAGAAGGGAGAAGAGAGAAAAGCCACCTGGTTTAGCTGGACCCAGCCGCAGGGCCACCAGCCAGCAGATTCTGGCTCTTTAAAGTGACTGTAAGAGGATGGCAGCTGTGCCTGCCCTTGTCACCCCACCCCCGTTCCTCATAGTCTGCAGGAGAGGAGGAAGGCCTAGTTCTTGAGGGCTGTCCCTATCCAGACCTGACCCCCAGGCTAGGTCACCAGCCTCTGGCGTATGTCCTCTTAGCGGCTTGCACACCCCTTCAGAGGACACGTGCCTCCTCGGCCACTGTGCCCCGAGCACAGCGCTGTGCTTGGCATGTAGCAGGGATGTCCAGGTAAGATGTGTTGAAGGAAAGGATGAAAGAATTCCTCCCAGTCCCTTACTACTTACCTCGAAGGTTGGGAGAGGACAGCCCCGCCCCCTCCCCCCCCACGTTGGGCCCTACAGCCAAGTCGGAGAGGACAGCCAGCCTATGCTGTCTTGGTGCCTTTTGGGTCCCACCCCAGGGGCCTAGTGAGCATGTGTCCCCTCCCTTGTGCTCCTCCTCGCCCCTTCTTCCTGTTCTCCCTGGTCTGCCAGAAGGACCTGCCACAGCACGGGCGACAGGAAAGGTGCGCCTGCAGGTGCGACCCGGTCCCGGTGGCAGCAGAGCAGGCGGCGTGCGGGGCTGCCCGGCTTCGTGGGTCCTGGAGCCCGTCCTGGGAGGGGCGGAGAAGCGCGCCCCCGCGCCTTCCCACGAGTCCCTGGCAGACGAAGCTTGTGGGAAGTTTTGGAGGCCAAGAAGGAGGAAGCGTCATCATTAGACAGTAGTGAGCCACATTATGGAGGGATACAAGGACATGGGCCTGACACCTTGTTAAGCCAAAAGCAAAAAACATGACCAGTGATGCTCTATTTCATAAGCTGGGTGGTGATATCACCGGCGCTCATCCTATTACTATCCTTTAAACTGGGCAGGGATATTATATATGCTCTTTATATATATACATATATGTGTATTATATAATTAAAAAATGTTAGAGCAGTCTACTATTGTCATTAAACACACAGATTCCAGAAGCCAAGACTGTCTGGGTTAATTTTCCAGCTCTGCCACTTGCTGGATGCATGACCTTGGGCTGAATACTCAGCCTGCCTTTGCCCCAGTTCCTCAAAAATAAAATTGGGTTAATAATCGCGCC